GCACTTTGGGAATTATCAAATTGTCGACTTAATGACAGGGCAGGCACGCAAGTAATCATGATCGGACATAACGTCTTTTTAGGCCGTCCTGAGATGAGGAATTTGGGAGGGCAGGGGGGATTTTTGAATGGACGGCTGTATGAAGCAACGACGTCTGGTCTGGCTGGTCATCTTAAGGCGATTCGATACTGCAGTTAGACAGAGATACTTATGATACAGTTGGCTGATTAAAATTTAAAAAAGTTAAAAAGAAAGCTTTAAGGAAGCCCTGATCACTTGCAGATCAAACGGTTTTTCTCTGAAGATTTTTTAAGTCCTTCCTATACGGTAAACTATTATACATATTAATCATTTTCTGAAGATCATTGAACAAATAAGCAATATAAAAATCCATAGTTCATTATGTTTAAAATTTTCAAAAAAATTGGTTGGTGGAAAAAAAACGTTTTGTTTTTCTAGAACAAAAGGAAAAAATCTGAAACATTCAGAAAGTTGATCGGTTTTTTTTAATGATAGAGAACTGATTTTTTTTCCTTTTTGATTTGATTTTCTCCATTTCTCCATTTTTCAAATTTATGACATTTTTTTCCTTCGAAAGAGAACAGTTCTTTCCCCAATTCGTCCTTTTTTTTCTTCGAATTCTTAAAAAATCTTTAATAATGGACTGAATATTACATATAAAACAGAATCAATTTCTCCAAATGAACACCTCTAAACAAACAATTCACTTTGGTTAGCTTTACAATTATTGACTTAATTCTAAGAAAGCATTATGAATGAATATCTAATCGCAAAAAGTAAAATAAGTTTAAACCTCTGTTTAAAACAATTTAATCGTTGCTTTTTAAACACTCGAATTAGCTGTGCTTTCGCCAAATTCCAAGAAAAAAAATACACCAGTAATTATTCAAAGGAAAACTACTCTGTCACCTCGCTATAATTTAATTTATCCGTCAAATTTGACATTTGAACAATGAAATTACAGTTTCTTTCCACTACCTTGAACCAGTGAATCGCACAAAAATGATATTCTTGAAAAAAGATAATATTAGGGCCTACCAACATAAGTCGTTCCTGGGCGCAAATGCGGCCTGCTTAATAATAATAATATGCTGTCTCCTCTCCCGCAGAAGTCTCCAACTTCTGGGCTAATTTTCGTGGTTAGAATGAGGAGTAGAGATATTATTATTATTATTATTATAGACAGTTTTCCGAAAATCATCTCAAAATTAGAATTTTTTTCTTACGATTTAGGTCTTGAGTAAGTTCAATTATTTCTAAATCTAAACCGACAACAGCGCGACAGTCAACTCGTATTTTTTTTTGTTTCCTCAAAATAACATTAATTTCATTACATTTACATTGACATTTATATGTTGTCTTATTATGCTACTAAGATGGAGTACCAACAATGGCCAATAATAGCGTTTAGCCGCTTAAGTGTACACAGGGTGTCCCACGGTGACGAGACACTCTCCATGAATAAATAAATTCAGAATGTCAGCATTTGAATAAATCTTAACGTTTCCCATTCTTTAGCAATAAATAATACTCAAATAAACATTCACTGCATGTGTTAAATTGACAACAATAAACTGGTGACAGATTAGATGGTTGTTTTGAAGTTCCATTAAAAATTTCACAGCCATCCTCGCAAGAAATTATGCGATATCCGTTGACTTCTCGAAAAACAGTAAATACCTTAAAAACCAGAAGGGATCGTTATAGGGAACCATTATACCATTTAAAAGAGAACAAAATTGTTCATTAGTTTGCACAAAAATATACAGGGTATTCCATTTAAAAAAAAAATAAGTTAAGATGGTTTAAAGTTGACTAAATTCGACATTAAATTTCTACCACCCTTTATGAAGTCAAGTCATTTTGAATTATGGCAGGGAAGCTTAGAGTTTTAATTAGTCCCCTATAAATTTTGTCGCTCTAACATTATTATTGTAAAATACACATCTTTTTGAACTAGGCAGTGCTTTTTTAATATTTTTTGAAAAAAATTAAATATATATCAAAAACGGTTAACTTTAAGAATAGGAAACCTTTATGAAAGTTCACCTAAAAATGGACGTAGAATCCAAAATTGCAATAATATACAAGGTGTTCCATTTAAAATAATGAAGANCTAAATCTAAACCGACAACGGCGCGGGCAGTCAACCCGGATTTTTTTTTGTTTCCTCAAAATAACATCAATTTCATTACATTTACATTGACATTTATATTTTGTCTTACTGTGCTGGTAAGATGGAGTACCAACAACGGTAACAATAAATAATACTCAAATAAACATTCACTGCATGTGTTAAATTGACAACAATAAACTGGTGACAGATTAGGTGGTTGTTTTGAAGTTCCACTAAAAATTTCACAGCCATCATCGCAAGAAATTATGCGATATCCGTTGACTGCTCGAAAAACAGTAAATACCTTAAAAACCAGAAGGGAGAGATATAGGGAACTATTATACCATTCGAAAGAGAACAAAATTGTTCATTAGTTTGCACAAAAATATACAGGGTGTTCCATTTAAAAAAAATAAGTTAAGATGGTTTAAAGTTTAAATTAAATTCGGCATTAAATTTCTACCACCCTGTATGAAATCAAGTCATTTTGAATTATGGCAGGGAAGCTTAGAGTTTTAATTAGTTCCCTATAAATTTTGTCGCCGTAACATTATTATTGTAAAATACACATCTTTTTGAACTGGGCAGTGCTTTTTTAATATTTTTTGAAAAAAATTAAATATATATCAAAAACGGTTAACTTTAAGAATAGGAAACCTTTATGAAAGTTCACCTAAAAATGGACGTAGAATCCAAAATTGCAATAATATACAAGGTGTTCCATTTAAAATAACGAAGANTCGTATTTTTTTTTGTTTCCTCAAAATAACATTAATTTCATTACATTTACATTGACATTTATATGTTGTCTTATTATGCTACTAAGATGGAGTACCAACAATGGCCAATAATAGCGTTTAGCCGCTTAAGTGTACACAGGGTGTCCCACGGTGACGAGACACTCTCCATGAATAAATAAATTCAGAATGTCAGCATTTGAATAAATCTTAACGTTTCCCATTCTTTAGCAATAAATAATACTCAAATAAACATTCACTGCATGTGTTAAATTGACAACAATAAACTGGTGACAGATTAGATGGTTGTTTTGAAGTTCCATTAAAAATTTCACAGCCATCCTCGCAAGAAATTATGCGATATCCGTTGACTTCTCGAAAAACAGTAAATACCTTAAAAACCAGAAGGGATCGTTATAGGGAACCATTATACCATTTAAAAGAGAACAAAATTGTTCATTAGTTTGCACAAAAATATACAGGGTATTCCATTTAAAAAAAAAATAAGTTAAGATGGTTTAAAGTTGACTAAATTCGACATTAAATTTCTACCACCCTTTATGAAGTCAAGTCATTTTGAATTATGGCAGGGAAGCTTAGAGTTTTAATTAGTCCCCTATAAATTTTGTCGCTCTAACATTATTATTGTAAAATACACATCTTTTTGAACTAGGCAGTGCTTTTTTAATATTTTTTGAAAAAAATTAAATATATATCAAAAACGGTTAACTTTAAGAATAGGAAACCTTTATGAAAGTTCACCTAAAAATGGACGTAGAATCCAAAATTGCAATAATATACAAGGTGTTCCATTTAAAATAATGAAGATGACGTCAACTTTCGGTATAACCGGAAGCGTTAGGTGGATGCCATTGTTTTAGTTGAGAAGCATATGCCCGAAAACACTATTGCCCATATTTTCAAAATTAAAATCGAAGTAGTCTCTGAAATATGTCTAATGTCTCGTCATCATGGGACACCCTGTATATACAGTGTGGAACAGCAATGGAATAAATTCAGTATGTCAATTATTGTGTATATTGATAAAAAATCCTGAGACAGGTCGATTATGGATTCTGAAACGACATCTTGCAACTTAAAAATTTCAACCCTAATTCAACCCCTTCGAGTGGTAGTTCAACCCCTAAATTTTTAAATGGGAAGTAGGGGGTTGGGTTACCTCATTTGAAAGATATTTTCATTCTCTATTCAAAAATGCTATGGATTTAATATTTATTGCAAAAGTTAACGGCCTGCAACAAACAAAAACAAAAAAACTTACAGCATTATTAACTAAAAAGAAGACATCAAAATTCTTCAAAGCAGACATTGCCAGTTTGCCAGAAAACACCGTAGTTACTTGGTATTTAATTGACAGCAATAAATGGTTGTCAGTGTTTTGCGTATTGTTTGACTTCTGCTTACTGAAATTCCTAAAGATGGTTTATTTTAACAGAAATACGTAAAATAATTATTCAGATGGTTGGTATCGGAGATAGAATGCTATTGCAGGTGGAAGTTGTTCACGTATTTCAAGAAAAACCTCCCGAATTTGCCTCCTATATCTCAATTAGCAAGATTGATTCCAGCTCAGGAGCTTAATGAGGAGGGCGATTTTGATAGAACATATTTTTATGAACAAATGATGCAACAATGTTATCCAATTAGAAAATGTTTTGTTTTCTGACGAGTCCACTTTTATTCTTCACGGCCATGTCAATCGTCACAACTCTCGTTACTGGGCTAATGTAAATCCTCATTGGATGAAAGAATTACATAAGCAAAATTCTGAAATATTTGGGAGGGAATAATCAAGTATCATCACCAATCAAATACTTTAGAAAACAAATACTAAAAAAGGCACCCTGTTTCTTTGGTTTTACCAAACACCTGAAGTCGCGAATATTTCCAAACACCATTGTACCAGTTTACTCTCCGTATGTAAACAAACAGTCTCCCCCACCGCCGACACGATTCCGCTGTAGACTAAACGGCTTACCTTTGACATCGCACACATCCTCTTGTGATAAATTGGCCATAAACATACTCACGAATTTCGCCGGTATCTTGAGCGCGACTTACCCCCACCTAACCGCAAGACACTATTACAGGTGCGATCATTCAGGTGCAATTTCAGTAGTTCCCGATGTGTCCTACATCAAACACACTGGCTAACAATGAACGGTGAAAGTAAGGTGGGTGATTTCAGTGGTGGATGTTGGTGATTCTTTTCCTTTGTGCACATGTGAGGTTCCGGAGAATACTTATGTCGTTGTTTATTTTTGTTTTTTGATATCCACGTTTAATTTTAAGTAAACGTTCCGAAAAATTTCAGGACATTCGCTTAAATTTACAAAAAAACTTTTCTGTTAGCGTGTAACTCAATTAGGCCAAAAGACATCGGAATATATTCATGAAATTTTTGGAATTTTTACTAAAAGTGGACTGAAATACGATACGCTGTTGCTTATTTCGTTATAAATGGTAATATCTCATGTCAAAACATTTACATTTTGTCTTCTATACGCCATTTCTACATCTCATACATATTTTGTAACTCAACCTTCATACTTGATTCGTTGAAAGCGAAAAAAGTTTTGACACATATTTGAAATGTCTGACACAATCTAAACATTGTTTTCTGAACAGGTAAGTGTAGGGATAACGTTAATTCTCAATTAAAATAAAAAAGGGTATAATTTCTAAGAATGTTTTTAACGACCATATACAGGGTGTCCCGAAATTAATGCAACAAAATTTGGTCACAGATTTTGAAGACAAATTTAGAGCAACCGTATTTTTTATTTTTGCCAAGTCGCCCCCTCTTTCGGAATTAAAGCCCCCTGAAATCCGCCCATAACAATATCTTTTTTATATACAGGGTGGGCTATTAGTGTGAGAAAGTAAAATAACTCCCTTGTTATTCATAATACAAAAAAAAGTTTATATAAAAGTTGTACAGAATCAAAAAACCTAAAGGACAAAATTAATTTGAAACATACAGGGCGTTTAGTAAATTTTTAAACATTTGGATTTCTCAAAAAATTCTATATATGGCAATATAAACAGTTTAGGATTTTAGTACGGGGTTGCCAAATTATATAGAAAATTCTCCGTAATTTGGAAAAAACATGACCTCGAAGAAGTTGTATTAACTTTCAGCTACTAACACTTGGAACAAAATAATTAGACAGAGTTATAGACAAATGTTAGACTCCGATATTTTATACAGGGCACTTTTTATAATACGATCATTTTTAGAAAGTTTAAACTTGATTTCCTAAAATTTTTCAAATGTGTTTTATTGTTCTATTTTATTCACATATCGGTTCACTTCAACTTTTATTAAGTAGGTTTTATATCTAAAATTGTTAGTTTTTAAGATATAGCAACATTTCTGAAAAAACTTAATTTTTATATAGACTATATATTATTGCATTTAGGGATTCTACGTGAATTTTGAGGGTCACTTTATTAAATATTCCCTATACCTAGAAGTTATAGATTTTGAAATATTAATTTTTAAAGAAAAAATTTGGCAGATGCAAGGGGATTTGACGGAGATGCTAGGAACTCTTTTCAAGAGCACGATATCAAGTGGATTTTTGGTACCTGTAAAGGGCATAGGCAATACTAAATTATGGTATACCAACAAGTTAAAACATTTAATACCAGGCGTTTCATTTTTGCTGTTACATTTTGATAACTTCAAACAGACATAACTTTGTTCACTTCAATGGAACACCCTGTACTCTGTCGTATGCAGAATGAAATTTCCTTTAAAGCCATATAAGCATTGTTAGGGTTGCCGTTACTATTTTTAGAGATATTTGCAACTTTCTATTTTTTGGACATTTTTTCTCGTAACAGACCTGTTGTCAAATTGGCCATGATCACTCCAAAAACAATTAAAATGACATTATACAAATTTGGAATACCTATTTTAATTTGTTTGTTATTTATGGACAATACTTTGCTTTGCTAGGTTGCCAAATTTTCAGATTTATCGGATCAGTACTTTCCGAGATATCGATAGTAGCGATTCCTGGTGGAACACCTTGTATAATTTTACAAATGTAAATATTCATTTCACTGTGTTGTTTTCCTTGCAATATTTAAATGTAAAAGTGGTTTATGTTTATCGTGAACGAGATGAAGAAAACATGTAAACATAACCTCAAAAACTTCTAAAGTTAGGTTATGTTACCTTTTACTGACACAGAAGACGTGTCATCGAAACAATGAGCTTTATTATCGTAGCACAAAGCATGTGCTTTGATTAATAGAATATAAAATCAACCCATGAGAAAAATTCCTGGAATAATCGACAGTTTCTGAATTAAAAAATGACCAGTTCGATACACCGTTAAATTAGATCGTTAATTTGGCGTTACAAAACTCGCGAAAAAAGTTGGTTTTAATCATTTGCTTGTTATTCGTTTTGGGACTAATAACTGGAAATGGTCCGTTTTTGATCACTGGAAATTTGTTGAAATTAACAATACACTGGTATTTTACTTTTACCTATTTATTGAAAAAAAATACCACGGTTTTTTAGTGATCACCGATGCCGAGGAAATTTTTCAACAAAAGCAACAAGTAACTGATTTATTATCCTAACCAGTGGCGTGCTTGATTGATTGATTGATGAATTTTTTAATTAATTTTCAAAGTATTGTAAAATTTCAAAGAAATGATAGTATTCATATTCAAAATTAAAACCTACGATGAAATGTTGAAAGAAAGTCGTATTTTGTTTTCAATTTTATTATAAATTATATCAAGCTCAAAATTAAGCAATTTCAGTTAAATTCACCTAAAAAAAAAAGACTTGCCAGCCCAGATTGGAAACGATGACATGCATTGTTGTCGAATCTCACCAACATACGTTTTTTTTTTTCATAACAGCAGACAGAAATTTAACAATGAACACACACAAACACCGTACCGGTACTGGAAACTGAAATATATTTAATAATCATGTCGTATCTCATCAGGTGGATTGATATCATGTAATTCACCTAAACTAGGTCTATACCAGAGGTTACCGACACAGAACCGCAAACTAAACACAGTACTTTAAAAAATATTAGTTAAAAACTTCCGAAGACTTTAAACCAACCTGTTCCTATGAAATTATTTTCTATTATAGTTCGCTCTATGTCAATCCATGTCTCATACAGTTGTGTACATTCAATCGGGTTCGGGAATTGCCCAGTGATGGCGTAGACAATAGTTTAAGACCAGTTAAAAAAGCGATTGTTGTTTGACACAGAAAGAACATGTAAACATGCAACAGCAAGTCGTACGAACTTCTTTTTAAATTTAAGTGAAGTTTCCGACCTTAATAGTGCCCCATACACATTCATAATCAGAACAAGTTATCTGCCAACATATTTATTACATAATGCAGTCTCCTGTGCACCTGTTCACACCACGCTCAATAAGAACAATCCTAATTAGCCAAGGTCTTGACCTTTATGCATATATGTTATTAAAATTTTTAATAACTTGCATCGAGCTTCGAGCGGAACCGATTCATCTGTGATCATTAAGTTACGAGTGTCGGGAAAATAACAAACGAGACAAAGGCGTACAATTTACGCGGTTTACTCCGTTTGTATTGACAAACGCAGATACAAAAAAAGTCGTTCGCGAATTGTATAACTATTATCGCTTGTTTTCTAATGAAAAATTGGTGCAAGGACTTTTAAAACGACTCGGTATAAATATACATTGCCGGAGTTTTCGAAATCTTCAATTACCATTTAAAAGCGAATGTGGGTTTCGTCACCATCTAACGTTCATAGCTGTCGCCTTAGGCTACAACAAATTACTATTTAATTTAATAGTTGTAATAACAAAGCAACACGTGGTGAATTAGATCAAACACCAATAAGCCAATGCATATTATAATTCGTATACAGGGTGATTCAGTCATAATGTCATTAATTTTAACAACGTACATATAGACTAGGCGGTATCTGCTTTGGTTTGGGTGAATCGTAGAGATCTTTTAATATCTCATGAGCCGCGAAATGCGCGAAAGGCATGGCGTATCCCCATAATTCTTCTAATAAGCACGTTGTGAAAACATTGACTCAGAATTAGACCACGTGCCTCAACACAACTAGAAATGAGCTAAGGCGCTCGGACATCAATAAAGTCAACTGGCGAACGTTCGTTATATATATTTTTATTGTTTAAATTAAAATAATAAAGAATAGGGCATTTTATTATGATATTTGTAATCGGATCAAAGGCTTGTTTACGCTAGAGCTCGAGAGAGACTGTGAATAATAGGTGCAATGTTTTTAGGATGTAGCATAATTTAGGCGACGGTCGGAATTATGTTTCTGCGATTATAAAGGTCAAAGCTCATAAGATTTTAAAACATCTCTATATCTACGGAGATTTTTGGCTTTTTGGCTTTCAAATATCACTGGAAATTAAAATTTTTCTATGCGCATAAAAAAAAACGTGGGCTTAACTTTTGGCGGCACAATACCTTTAAAAAATTCGAAAAATGTCATATTTTTCTTCCTATTTAATTATGTCTTTTCAAGAGTTGATTTTTGGCGAAAATGGGAGAAAAAGAATGTTTGTAACTAATTTTTTTACAAAATATGACTAGTTACAAATCGAATGAATCATGATTATTACTGTAAAAATCGAAAAAATCGCCAAAAATGGGGTTAAAAAACATTACTTTTTAGGGAATTTTATTGGGGTTTTAAATTGGGTATAGTACCTTCATACTTGGCTTCATGTTATATAGAATCATCACACCCAATTTCATCAAAATCATTTTAATAGATTTTGCATAATAATTTTGCAATCCAGATTTTGAAAAAAATGTGCAAATTTTCAAAATTTTGCACAGCAAATACCAAGGACTCTCAAGCTTTCAAACGCTTTTTGAAAAATTCGAATCCGTCAATTAGGAGAGCTCTGGCGCTTATTTAAACATTGGTCGAATTTTTGTACTTATAAACACTTAGAATAACTTTGTGAATATTCGACCAAATCAATTTTTTTAAAATGGGTTTTAAAAGTTCTTGGAAAGACGCTATTTAAAAAAACAGATCGATTGGTCAATTAATTACGTAGTTATAGCCAATCAAAGTTAACCTTCATTTACACTAAATGTACTGGGACATCCGGGCTAATTTTTCGAAATATACCTTTGGTATTC